ATCTTTCAAATGAGTAGTTCCTGCTTTTGACCCACCAGCAAGTAGCTTGGAGCAATGGTTGCACTCAGTTTTTATCACATCCCCAACTCTCTTTCTCTTAAAATCAGACCACACTGCCGAAGTATGCCTACTAGTAATTGGTAGGAGAGAAGGATCGGAATTAGTCTCTAGAGGACTTTCATCATCATCTATTGCAATTGGAGTATTACTAGCGGAAGTGGGAACACTAGCGTTATTCTCATTTTTAGATGTCATTCTCCCCTGTAAAAATTAAATAAAGACAATTAATGCACTAGACATATTGACTACAGTATTGAACACATTTGACATCTCAGAAACAACAATAATAAATTAATAATAGCAAATTAGCAATGCACAGCAGCAAAGGCAGATCATGCTTCTAGCACAGCTATCGGAAGATATCATGTTGAAAGGCCTATCAATGCATAATGTCATACTGTAACTGCTATGTTAATATATTGTTGCTGCTGCATAACCAGTTAACCACCTATCACACTAAGTCACTAACCACTACATACAGGCTACAACACAAATTTATAGCCACTGAGCCACATAGATACAAACACAAACGCTCACACACACCATGCATCATTCATAGGCTAATAGCCAGTCATTTTCAATTCAAATTTAGTAAAAAATCAGTATATATATTTTGAACTACAATACAATCAAAATTCATCCCCACTTAATTATATACAAAGTGTGTTAAGTTAGTGTGTACTACAGAGATTGATCTTAGTAAATGAATTAAATAAAAAAAAAAGTAACTAAATCTATAATGATCGAATAAGTGGTCAAATGACATAATCCGAATTTAGTTATCACACATAAGCTAAAATAATAAACATAAACTTATAAGTCTGAAATTAATGAGAAAAACTAATTACAATCTATACATATTTCGACTTTATTATATCTATTTTGTGAAATTAAATATAAAAAAACAAGTAATGAAAATTCTAGATTAAAACCCTAATAAACTAAAAAATTTGGAGGTCATCATATTCATACATTATCATACAAAAAATAACAGTAATCAACTACATTGCATTAGATTGAAAGTATCATACAAATATAACACGAAACCCTAGCTCAATCAAATGAAATATTGAAAACCGCAATCGAACAAATCATAAATAAAAGACGAATCACATACTTTCAATCGAAAACCCAATTAAGAAATTCTTAATTGAACATATTGAATTAAGAAAATTCAATGATAATAATGCGAAAACGTTTACCTAAATTGAATGAGTTGCAGCCTTGCAAGATCGAGGTTGAAGAAGAAGGATCGAAGAGATTTGATTGCAGACGAGGACCACGAGGTTGAAGAAGAAGGATCGAAGAGAGGGGTTTGAGGCTTGAGGAAGAGATTCAGCGCTTGAGACAGTGAGGCAGTGAGACTGTGAGAGGAGAGAGTGAGGCAGTGAGGCTAGGGTTTTTGTTTTGAGAATGAGTGAATGACTGAATGAGGGTGGGTATTGGGTAAGTGGGTTACTGGGTTAGATTTCATTAGGTGTAGTAATTTTTTTTTTAATCGTATTATGCTATGGCTAGTCGGGTCTTATGCGGGTATGGGGTGGGTATAAAGCGGGTATGGGTCGGGTATGGAGTGGGTCAGGCGGGGCGGGGCGGGTACGGGGTGGGTCAGGCGGGGCGGGGCGGGGCGGGTATTACATAACAACCATCCCCGCCCCATCACCCATGGCGGGTATGGATTTTAGACCCATCCCCGCCCCGCGACCCGCCAAAGCTAGACCCATCCCCGCCCCATCGGGGCGGGGATGGGGCGGGTCTCCTACTAGACCCGCCCCAGTGACATCCCTAGGTGGAGGAGAGAGAGCGTGAGAAATATAGAGGAGGAGGAGAGAGAACGTGAAAACTGAGGGGAGGAGGAGAGAGAGCGTGAGAAATATAGAGGAGGAGGAGGAGAGAGAGCGTCAGAATTAGGGTTTTTTAAAGAAATGGCAAGCGGATCATGTTCCAAACCGCTTGCCATTTACAATTTGGCAAGCGGTTCACCCTAAACCGCTTGCCATTTACAACATAGCAAGCGGAATTGCAAAACCGCTTGCTATTTGGGGCTTCCCATTACATTTATTCTACTAGTGACCCTACAAATTTTTATGTCTTGAATATTGCAATTATTATCAAACTCTTAAAAGTCTGTGTGACTACATTATTGACACCTCAACATGAAGTTTGAGCATATGAGAGTTAATAAGATTTACTATTTGTAATTACAAGAGAGTTATCTTGTCAATCATGAAACATCTAAATAATATTAATGCAATACTTATGCGCGAGAATGTTTTCTCATGGTCCAGAAGAACCATGATTAGCGTACATAATTACATATGTTATATTATAATTCATATGAGATTGAAGAATGACATTAATATTATCAAGTTTTGTCATCAAATTATTATTAATGAATGTTAAATCAAATAATGATCACCAAAATTTATTATTAACAACTTCCAGAAGAAGTCATAACCGCATGAGTTTAGCCTTTTTAATCAACTATTAAATAGAGATTTGGAATGGTGATATTAGAGATAAACACATGTATGGTGAAATGAAGACACTTCACATGTTCACGTGAAGACTTGAAGAATTGAAGATGCAACTTCAGCTTAAGAGATTCGAAGATCAACGTATGATATTTTACTTACTACATATGAAAAGATATCCAAACATATTGGATTCATTGTTGCGGCACTAGAAGATCTCAAGTTATGTATTCATCAAGGGGAGAAAATACGCGCTGCACTCTTTTTCCCTTGACCATGGTTTTGTCCCACATTAGGTTTTCCTGGTAAGGTTTTTAATGAGGCAGCATCTCGAGCATATTACGAAGAACGTTGTACTCTTTTTCCTTCATTAGGTTTTTATCCCACAAAGTTTTTCTTAATAAGGTTTTAACGAGGCACAATCTTCGATAATGGACATCCAAGGGGGAGTGTTATGAAATATCGTGTGGATGACCATTATGCTCCTTATATCATTCCGGAATATTCTAGATATATGATTTATTCTTATCTAAACATATTTGTGGATGTCCATCTTGTATCACTCTAGAACTTTCTAGAGCTTAGGGTTTATTATTGTCCAAGCAAACTCTATCAATTATTGTACTATATATATATTTATTTATATATACCTCCATCATATGAAATACAAGTAGAATACACATTTCGATTCTCTCTCAATCTTTATATTTCTCCTTATTTTACAACATAAGAAAAGTTATTGAATAAGGTTTGACATTTTAAATTCAAGCGTCACATAAAATAAATAAAACAACAAAAGATAACTTTAGTGTTAAAAAAAAAAAATTATCTTATGATATTAGGAATTTTATCTATATATTTACTGAATGGTCTTCATAAATATACACAATTTTAAATTAAATAAAATGATTACTAAAATCGTGCATCGCACGGGCTTACATCTAGTACATAATATTTTAATCCTCCACATCATAAATATATTTTGTGTAATTATAACCATATAGCCAATTGGTTGTTGATGTAGAAGTGATTGAGACTACATTTGCTAGGGAGGACCCGTGTTGATTCCCGCAACAACAATTGGGAGGGATTGGAACCTAACCACTCAGAACTGATCTGTAAATTCAAATTATCCCAAAAGTAATCGGGTGGAACACCCAATAAAAATAAAAAAATATATAAAAAAAACCATATTTAAAAAAAAAAGGATAATGATAAATATTTCCCTTAGTACTATAAGAAGCTCAAAAAGGAAAGATTGAGGAAAGATTAACAATAATTGCATCGATCTGCACGTAATTTTCTCATGAATTCTCAACTTAATTCCATTTTGAGAAGTATATTTAATGCTTATACAGCTACATATATCATTACCCTTACAAAAATTAATAAATCTACTATATTAATAATCCGTATCTAAGTTTGTGGTAAATAACAGTAAATCTTGTATGTAGCATGTGGTAACATTTGTTTAAAATAATAATTACAATTCAGTATATGAGTAATCTGGACAAATGCTGGGAGGAGATGAGATTTGACACCTACTAGCCAATGAATCAACAAATAGGATTTTTAAATCGGTTTGGCTTTAAGTGTAGATTAAACATGCAATAACAATTATGCAAGATTAAGAGAGCTATTAGAAGTTCAAAGTAAATAAAAACATAAAATAGTAAGAGAAAGGGATACTCGTAGAAATTACAACTTAACGCTTCGAAGTTTGAATGAAATGCTTAAATTAAGAGAACAAGTCTTAATATTATCTTTCTACACTGATTGAGTTGACAATTCTAAGCTTGATTCACTAATTAATAGAAGTTCTAAATTACATACATAAAGTATTCGGCTAGAAGAAGCGCAGAGAAACCTAGGCGTGGTTGCACCATTCTTTGAAGAGGTCGCATCACCTTCAGTTAGGAGTAAGGTAGATTGTTTAGCACTCAAGAGGAGAGGCCTCTCTAAATAGGAGATATTGTGTCAGGGGTGGAGAGGGTGAGATGTCGCACCTCAATGCTGGGGAGGCCTCTCTAAATAGGAGATATTGTGTCAGGGGTGGAGAGGGTGAAATGTCGCACCTCTATGCTATGCTAGAGAGGTCGCGCCTCTTATTATCTTCAAATCTATTTGAGAGGCAACAAGTTTAGTAGCATGATGCATGTAGATTGGAGAATCCTCACCACCAGAGCTTCAATTCTGCTAAATGGGGCAATTTTTTCAACATGGATCATCTCTCATGTGATGAGGAGAGGCAGTGCCAACGGAGAGGCTAGGCTAGGCTAGTAGAGAGGAAAGGCTCCGCCATTGCTATAGAAGAGCATCTCAAGTTTCAAGCCTTCATTTGCTAAGAGGTGGTTTAAATCACATTCTTTGGTCATCAAACTTGCAATATAGTTAAGCCAACAAAAGGAACCACAAGAGTGCCAAAAAGAGGCAAAAATACTACAATGTTAAGTAAATACTACAAACAGAAAATAAACTACAAAAGGGGTAGAAAAGAGTAAAATAAAGAGAAAAGGCTACAAAAGAGAACTAAAAAATAAATACACCAATTGGAAAATCCACTTATGAGAGTAACCCCCATTTTTTGTGCAAGTAAATCAATTAATTAAAAATTAAAGAAACCCTATTTGTCCATTGGAGTAATCCCTATTATTTAAATTTGGCTATTTAAAGTATAACTCCACTTATTTATAAAAGTAATCACATTTATCCATTGTAGTAATCCTTCAGCTCGTTTATCCATTGCACTTATTTATCAATGTTGTAAACCTTAAAACCCTTAACTTGCTATTAACAATATTTGACTACCATATACAAATTACAAAGTATATATGTAGTATTACAAATTTACATTGTATGTTTATAAGGCATGGCACCCACAATGACCAAATTAGACGTACTTTTGATGACAGTTTTGAGTACATACCCTCCAGGCTTTCAGCGTACAAATTGTCCTACCTATGCTAAAGCAGGCTCAGTAATAAACATCCAGTTTGTCTCCATAACCCCCTTCGTTGGCATGACATCATTTTCTCCAACTGAGGACTTGAGGTCACTGGAACTGCATCCCAGATAAACCTCCCGCAGACAGGGCTGAGAGCAGTAATAACGCATCATATCTCATATGTACAAGATTGCCCACTTTGAGATGCATTGCCATAATCGTTTGATAGTGTGTACATTATCCTTTGCCAAAAGCACATTAATTCTTGAACAGTCATTCAGGTTTAGTCTATCACTTGCTACCAGTATCAGTTAGCATAGTCGTAGCTCACAACAGTACAAGGTCAAAACTAGATAAGTCTGCAAAACTTGCATCCCTCTATCCGTTAAAAAATCATGTTCTCAATATTCGTGACAATTTGTAGACCTGCAATTCATTGCAAACCCATATTGCAATTTATTATCCATGGGAATGAAATCAATAAGTCTCGGCATCTACTCATCTAGATGATCATGCACTCTTGTACAGAAGGATGTTAATCTTTTGTACCATATATCATAGAGAAGAAATAATAAGCTAATCACCCAAAATCCCCCTTCGTGATTACAATAACAATGAATTTTGTCCTTCAGTTTCATATATAACTACCCCGTATTAAAAATCAAGCACTCCTTATTTATAAGAAGAAATCCACCACCAATTATTTTATTTTTTTATCTTGAAAAAATAAAAGCTAAATACCTGAGCAGTCCTACTAGGCAATGGCACTTGTAGACAGTCCTGGAGACCATCAATTCTGCATAAGCAGGAGAGATTCAGTTCAAGGAAGACTAACAAACGGCAAACCAAAATATGAAGGGAAAGTACAAGAGAGAGAGAGAAAAAAAAAAAAAAGAAAAGAAAAGAAAAAAGCTAACCTCTTCCTAATGCTTCTCTGGAGATATTGCTCACGGTGGACAATATCTCTTCCACCATATTTCTTCTCATCAGTATTTAGCACGATCTGTAACATCAACTTAAGCGTAAGGTCCTTAAAACTTAGAAGTGAATTCATTGCTTATGGTCTTTCATTTCGCTTTTTATCAACATAAAAACTCTTAAGAGACAAATTCACACGCAAACGGTGAAAAATATGAAATGATATTAATGAAAAAATACAAAGATGCCGTGGATGTCTGATGTCTCTACCAAAGATTCTACTATTCTAGTGTCTAATGGTGATCAAATAATTTAGCCAGTTAAGATGACTTTTTATACGTTTTTTTAGCAATAAACTCTCATATTAAGAATACTGTGAAGTGAGACAATCCTACCCAGGATTTTCAGTACAAGGATTGCAACTCCATTGTCTTCATAAATAAAACTTAATTGTTCCAACCTCAACATAGAGTCAAAGACTAGCAAATAACATTTTAGAACAACTTGAAATAGGCTTGAACAGAAAAGATTAACATTGCATACATAGTATTTAACCTAAAACTTCTTTAGGAATGGCAAAAAATGGAAATATAGCCATATACTTACTCTTTTTATTGCACCGTCTGGACTTTTACAATATTCACACAAATCTCTGTTGACCATCTTTTGTGATTTATCTCTAATGAAAAACATAGTCGGGTGGGATCCAGTAAATTTCATCTCGAAATCGACTTTTCAAATATCAACTTTTTATAATTTTTACTATAGTATAATTAAAGACATTAATAGTCAAAGTATAGCATTGACAAGCGTGAAATGACAAATGGTGCAATTAAAAAAAGGAAGCAGATAATTGCACTCTTCAAGTCTTCATTTCACCTCAGGTAACAAAAACAAACTAACATTGACAAATGGGTATGCATACTTGACACTTCATATTGGACTAATTGGTAATTTTTGGTGGAATAAGGCTAAAATCTCTGCACATTTCATGTCCAACACGAGTAGCTTTGTCTTAGTAACATAGACGACAATTAATAATGATTAATCTACTGTGTACATAGTGATCAGTATATATAATTCTCCAGATTTGTTTGATGCCAAATTTACCAGTTCAGTAATTATTCAAGATCCATGTTGCTTATCCTCAGAAAGACTAGAGTTTAACCAAGGTCTGATGATGATAAGGCAGCTAACATATCAACATATTTAAGGTGCTGCATGCCTGCATTCTTAAAGCTAAAATCAAGATCAAAATGAGCTAAACTTAAATAAGTCAAACATGCATAATGTTTATTTTTAGAGCTACCTCATCCCATTGTTATGTTAACATGCTGTTTTAAAAATTTTGTCTCCTCTTTACATAAAATTTTCCTTACCCACTCAAATTATCTGTGTCTTGAATATCTGCTATTTCCTGGAATTAACTCATGGAATGCAGGGAGTACTGATTAATGCTGTTGACAGCAAACATCAATACAATGCAACATGGACAACATCTAATCTTACACAACAAATAATGCTAGAATGAATAAGTTATAGGAAAAGGCAGTCTCAGACATTCATTACAAGTATATTACATAGACAGGACAACAAACACAGAACAGCATATAAGGTAAAGTATCTTTAGTGGCAACAGCAGAAAAAACTTCCTAAACATATGAGAAACCAGATGATCATAAAGGGATCCAAACTTACTTGATATTCCCCAGCCTCTTCAACTCCAACATAATATCCCTCGTATGATTTAGTCGGATGAAAGTTAAAAATGAACAAAAGAGGACCTCTCATGTAAGAAATTACCTGTAAAGCAAGAGGAAACTCATATAAATTAATAATGTTGTTCACACTGATGGAGTGCAGAAGACCTCCAACTTCATGAAAAACTTCCAGTTTCCTTATTTTCCTATTGGCAGGTCACTATGCCCAGTACTAAAGTATCTTCTTAAAATATAAAAAAGTCAGCAAGAAGCAAATAAAGTATACAGCAATAGAAATACAATGTGCCCATGTAAGAAGTTTCTCTATCATATGAACTTCAGTAGCCATGAACAATTATCTATATACAAAAACTCAAAAAGAGTGTCAAACTCCCATGGAAGAAAATGCAATCGCAGTAGCTCTCCAACAGGAATTCCCAACAAAATGCAAAATTTCTACAGAAAAGACATTCATATGTTTCCAAACCCACAAAATGCCTGAGGTTTCAATTTGCAAAGGGTCATGAACTCTATCAAGTTCAAATACTTAATGGACAAAGAATACATAATTTTAGTTCAGCGCTATGTCTAGATAAAACAAGAACAGGCATACTGCAACAAAAAAGAAACAAGAATCATTTTCTACAAATGATAGTTGGAATTGTATTACCATACATACCATTGTATCATCATTCACATGGTGAACATTTAGTAAGCCTCTTGAAAGGACCCTTTCTCTTTCATCCATCTTCATCATGTCCTACAAACAAAAAGCATGCTGGACTCAGTATCTCATGTTAACCTCTCCACGTTAACTATATCAACTTTCCACAACGTTTCCTCCCAATTTCAAGAGGGGTGGTGGAAAGGAAAAGAGGAACAAAGTAAGAAGCAATTGTTACTATGAGAACAAATGCACGTGTAGCAGCAAAACTGTAGGGATAGAATAAGACCTGGTCAAAGGCAAATAAATCAAAGTGAATGCCTTGCTCCATTAACAAATCCCAACGTCGGTTTGCTGATTCCATTGAGAAGTCATTGCTTGCCGTTGGAAACTCAACTCTCTGATAAGAGGAAAGATACAACATGATTAGATGCAAATTTTGCAATGCATTTTCAACAATATTAAGAGACACATGTCACCTTGGGATGCCCAAATTCATTGCCCATGAAATTGAGATAAGCACGGCCACCAATAGTAAAGGTAATCAGTCTGATAAGCTGAAACAGGAAAAATATAAGTTTCTCCAGGTAAAATTATCAAACATTCTTATATTAAATTAACACAAATACACAATAACATCAAAATTGAAGGAACATATACAAACACTGTATAACAAAAACTTGATGAGGAGAAGCAATTGCGAACATATGATGAATAACACATCTTTATTTCTCTCAAGACACAAATTGAAATCCAACATCAGTTAGAATTTGGATCAGAAGAGGGGAGCTTAAAGGCATACTTTGTGTAATGATGTTCCTCTTAGAAACAAGTCTGTTGATTCTAGTGACTGTTCTTCAATATTACCAAATAATATCTCTGCAAAAGACTTCGCTCCAGATATTGACTGAACAAGAAAGAAGAAATATGAGAGTGACATTTTCCACAAAACCTTAAATATTACAGATCATTGTATGCATTCAAACTTCAAGCATACAATTCTGATGAATAGAGAGAAATTGATCACCTGATTGTGATTTTCAGCATATAGAAGCATCTTATCAGCATGCAATTTGCTACCCATCAGTGTTGTCACAATCTGCAGCATATAGACATTTTTTTGCAAGATAAAAGTTTTAGTCTGAATTACTGACCATATAAATTTAAATTGTAATGGAAAAATCTAATTATCGAGTTGTACAACCTTACTCATGCTCCATTTGTCATCAGGGACATTCTCAATAAAGTCCAGCCACATCTCAGATGCAGAAAGATTAACATAGTAATCAAATCCTAGTCCACCTTGAGAAGTGGGCTCACACAATCCAGGATAATATGTCGCCTGAACAATTTAGCAACAATGATCTTAGAATTGAAGTACAATGGCCACAATTAGATGTTTATGAAAATCAACTATATCTTTAATATATCTCATAACTCAGCATAGGTTGAGGAGATGTACAACAGTACAAGTATTTCGGAAATTTAGAGAACCAGTTTGGGTTTGTGCCAGCGTGTTCAACCAGGAAAAGATTGACTTGATAAAGCAAAGGATGGAGTATATCAGGGCGAAAAAGAAGGATTTGCATATGATTTCATTCATCTGGAGAAAGATTATGACAAAGTGCCAAGAGAAGTGCGTTTAGTGGGCAATAGCCAAGAAATGTATTCCTCCAAAATATATTGATTAAATCAAGGATATGTACCAAAACGTGAAAACAGATGTTAAGATTTGTGTTGTAGTTACAACTGGACTCTATCAAGAGTCAGCATTAAGTCATTTTCTCTTTGCAGCAAATTTGAACAAAGTAATAAGCGCTATCCAGGATGAGGTACCATGGTTTATGCTATTTGCGGATGACATTGTACTGGTGGACATACTAAAGTTGTGGTAAGGGCTAGATTGGAGCAATGGAGATTAACGATAAAATCCCACAGGTTCAGATTCAGTCAGAGTAAAATGTAGTACATGGGATGTCGACTTAGCACTACCAGAGAGTCAAGCGAGGATGCATTAGCTTTGGAGTTTGGATGGTGAGTTATCCAAGAGCGAGTGTTTTAAGTACCTTAGTTTGATTTTAAAGAATAATGGAGATATAGAGCAAGATTAAACCCAGGTAGACCAAATGGAGAGTTGCAGCTAGGGTATTGTGTGACAAGAGTAACCCTTAACATTAAAGGAAAAATTCTACACACGGCAATCAGACCAGCATTGTTATATGGGTCTGAAAACTTACAGGAATGTTGGAGTTGCAGATATTGAAGGTAAATTAAGGGAGAACAGACTACGCTGGTTTGGGGCTTTGGGCATGTGAAAGGAAGACCAGAAGAAGCACCGGTAAGGAAAGTAGAGAGGTGTGATCATGAGAGTCTTAGAAGAGGTCAAGGAGGACTTTACATGACTTGGATGGAAAGAGTTAAGAATAAGATGAAGAAATTGGGTTTAGAGGGGCACATAGCACTAGAGAGAAGGTAATGGATGGAAAGGATCATGGTTACATGCAGCAATGATATAGTAGATAAGAACGAGAAGAAGAAAAAACAGTATCAACATAGAATGACAATCCAAAAGCAATAGACTTACATCTTCTGCAATAGTTATAATATTGGGATGCAGAGCATGCAGAATGTCATTTGCCATGATGAGGTACATTAGGGCATCCCTATCTACATATTGATTGCAGTATCTGTAATTAAACAAGTTTTACAAGTCAATATCAATGTTTCAATCAGGTATGATGCATTTAGAGGATTTAGTATGTCTAAGAAAATAATTGCCACCTTTGCAAATAGCAAATAACAGCTTGAAAAACTTACAGCAGAATATTGCTGAAAAGGTACACAATAATTTTTTTTTTTTTTAAAGGAGGATAGTGGAAATTCATTAAGCAACATCAGAATACCTACAGTTAAAATGATAATCCCATTCACAGATTATGATAACTGATAAGTCAAGCTTTTTAATTATTATTTATCCCCACAAAATGCACCAACAATTTTAAAGAGCAGGACTGAAGGGCTAATTTTTGTAGCAAGATATAAATATTAAGAAGTATCAACATAATAATTTTAACGCATGTCTACTTTTGGGATTTGCCGGAATTAGTAATGTAGATGTTTGGCAATGAAATACTCATTTAACAAAGACAACAAAGACAACTATGAAGACTTACTCCCCCAATTCACCAGTGAAACTAGCAAAGCCATTGTGTGTATAAATCATTGAAGAGAGCGAATGAAACTGAAAACCATCAATTTGATACTCTTCAACCCACCTGCTCAAATAAACAATCAACTTTAAAACAATCAATTTCATATGCCATCATGTTAACAGACCACAATTTTAACAAAAATGAGCCGACAAACAAGCAAATAAGCAAAAGAATCAAATTGATGATAATAGCTGAATAGTAAAGCTCTACTTAATAGTTGAATCACTACCAATTCAGGTTGGAAAGGAGATACTGTAGCACATCAACATCACCATACTTGAACATTCTAGTTCCCCAATATTTGTGCTGTCCTCGTTTCCCTAATCACAAAACAAGCACATTAAACTAACTTCAGAAATATTACTTCTAAAAAAATAGAAAAAAAAAAGAAAGAAAAATTTAACATAATTGATAACATGAAGGCAAAGGAAACAAGCACTTTGGAGTTATACTTTGATTCTCTCTATGCCTTTTGGACATATAAATTTCTAGATATCCATAAAGAGCGACATCTTAGGAAGCATGAAGTATGGCAAGAGACTCAAATTTGGGTAGTGACAGAGACATAGAGTGAATCACAAATTCACTGAACACCAGAAAGTATCGGTAATAAGATTACCAGTATGAAAGTAGCAGTCATTTGTTCCATCAAAATGTGACAATCCAATCATCTCATCTGCTGCTGCATATGAATGCACAACATCTAGAAATACTAGTAGTCCTAGACCTGTCAAAGAGCAAATACGACCAAAATCATTTCTTTTAGTATCAAAGAACAAACAAGTAAAATAAATTTTCACCAAGAATACCCTGGGGTTTGGTATATATTTTGTGAGATATTTTAACCTTGATGATATATACTTTGTATTAAGGTGTGTAATATGTTGATGGCTAACTCCATGAGTACCATGACCAATGACCATTTTACCCCAAAAAACATTGGATAAGTGATTAATAGCGCGGGGTAACTCTTTTTTTTTTTTTTTTTTTTTTTTGGAAGAGTGGAGTATACCTCTTTGAAAATATACTTAACCATAGTCTATAAGATTATAAATCAAAGTCACGCAAATTCTTCAGAATAGAGTATTATAAAGAGTAATTGCTTCTTTGCTTATACTATCATAGAAGATGGGTAACAACCATGAGCTTCATCAATCAAGTGCTTGAAGTCTTCTGGAGTGCCATAACGACTGCTTACAGCATACATGTTTGTAACCTGCATCAACATTCAATTAAGCTGCTAAAGTATTGCAAAGAATAAATAAAAAAATTAACATACTTTGAATATGTTTTTCTTAATATATTAGCCTCCAAAGAGAAAATGAGGCATATAGAACTTAAAATGGTACAAAGCATTTGGGTTGAGGTTTCTTTTGTAAAGGTTAACTTCTAGCATTAATCGAAAGAGTAACCCCACTTGCTCTCTTAATCTCTTCTCTCTCCTCATCAATACTTGTCCCCACCCAAGTGCACTAAATCTTGCTTTGATTCTTATTAAAGTGAAGTTGAGGTTTAGGGCAATGCCAGCAATCTATTAGGGACATGAGAATTAATTTTTATTAAAAGATTGGATTTCATCCCTCTTCATCTTTACATGTTTTTTGGGGTACAAAGGTGAGAAAAACCTAAAATAAAGGAACAACAAAGCCTTAGTCCCCAAAATAATTTGGATCGTCCAACATGAATCGTCAAAAGGGAAAACAAGAAAAGTTCAAAGCATGGCAAACTGGCAAAGCCACCCAAGCAATGACTTCATCAAGTATCTACCACAGTTCTGGTGATGAATCTTGTAAATTACCACCCTTCGAAGCTTGTTCGATTCCCAACTAACAACCATTAGGAGCCAATAGGAGAATTGAATAAAAGGTTAAATATTAGAGCTATATGTGTTCATTGATTTAGTATCACTGTGTAACCTTATAGACCAAATTGTCCAATACACAAAGTTTCATGTATCATTTTGTCAATTGGACCCTTCTCTTTCACAGAAAAGACAATGAAAAAGGAGATAAAAGTTTTAACTCACTCTATAACCAGCTGTGTAGTAATCTTTGTGCTCAATAACACCAAATAATTGGACTGCATTGTACCCGAGATGCTTTATGAAAGGAAGGGTCTGCAATTTTAAAATCAGGAAAAACAAAAAATCAATAAAGAAAGAGCCATAGACATCTTATCAAGGGATGAACATAGATATTCTATTTCAATACTGCAGATCATCCAAAGAGTGGAACCTTCTCAGTAAAATCATTAAAGGAGGTTATCGTAGGCTCTAACCCACTGATTCCAATGTGGCACTCATAAATGCGCAAGGATTTTGGGACAGCCGGCTGCTTGTTTCTCCACTTATGAGCGCTCTCAGGAGGCGGCTCCCAGTGAACAGCACAAGGTTGATCTCCCTCCACATCTATAGCATGTGTACCAATCAAATCAATTCTTAGTGTCTGACAAAGTCAATATTGGATAATTCTTGGGGTCCTTGGGAAAATAACAACAATGTCTGCAAGACTCTAGAAAACACACAAGTGATATGAGTAATGGGAATGATGATAATAAAGGTATTGGTGGAATTTCGAACCTTGATGAACTAAACAGAAGTTATCAGGTTAATAACTATATGCCTCTGCAAAATCACCTTTTGTAGCATCACAAATCTTAATGTAGCAATTAAACAAGATGTCAGATTGTTAAGTCTAGGGCAATGTCATTATGTTAATATAACCATGTCAAAAAAGAGAAGCAGAAAGAGCAGCCAGGACTACTAGGTTTCATGTTTGAAACTCATCCATAATTATATACTGAACAAACCATACAAACAACACAGAGCACAAGGCTTAATATTCCGCCTCAAGTAAGGATGAGGCAGCAGAACTACTCAGCCTATTATCATGAAGAGAGGTCATCAAGCATCTTTTGTATGTATCCAAGATATAAAGAAGTATCTGCAATATCTGTGAAGGTCTTCCTTACTTAGAAGATAGCATATGCATATAAGACAAATCGGCTACAAACAACATTCCAACTGCTGCTTTTCTGAGCAAGGTAACTCTTAGAAAAGTCATGGAATAAAACGTTAATTTCAAACGTGAATAAATCCTGATGGTATCAATAGAAGAAACTTAATTCACCTGGAAGAACATAAGTAGCCCAGGCTGGAACTCTTTCCAAAGCTCCATCAGGAGTGTTGAAATAGACCCTGTACTTGCTTCCGTGTGGAATACAAGGACTATACTTCTTCATCCAAGCTTTTCTTCCTTTTCTTGTCTCAAACCAATAAGCAAGAGGAGGCTTCATGTTACGAAATTTCTCTCGGGAAATTGGATCATCCACAACATTATAAATGTCATATTCCTTTCCGCTATCAATCACATCATAACGAAAGAATTCAGGAGGCTTATCTTTATGCTGTTCTCTGTAAGCCTTGTATCTAGTTTCAGCATCTGGTAATTCTTCCAGTTCCTCCAGTGTTTGTGGTCCATTAGGGCCAAAAATTTGTTCATACAATTTCGATGCTACTTCATATCGATTATTGAGGTAGCGGTCCTCCCCTGGTTCCCAATACTCGTCATTTGCTCTCTGGAAAGCTTCGTCAATGGAAACTGTATCACCTTTATCATAGTCATCAACATAATTGTATTGCTGGAAATAAAGATCATCGGCCTCTTCTCCATCCCTCAACTTATCATCAAGAATTACAAACCAGTACCCATAATCATCATGGCCGAGGTGACCTTCTCTAGCAGCATTCTCAACAGGAGACCAATTATTGAAGTCACCAACTAAAGCACAATATCGTGCACCTGTGGTCGGATGATGTGACAACATGATATGAGCAACCTTTGCAAAAACAAGCATAATGGGTGCAACCTAGTAGATAGTTTAAGAGAAACTAAAACACTATTTTTCATCTGCTTCCTTCATAATAACAAAAGATTAAGCTTTTCCTTTTAAAGTGTGCCACTTACTAATTGAGAAAATAAGATTGCTAGTTATCTTAAATGTGAAGAGCCAACAAAGTACTACATCCTAAATTAACAATCACGTCGACAATATAACTTGAACTAGAACTAGTAATGTGACAAGTGACAACTAAGTAAAATTATTAATTTGAACTAGTAACGTGACAAGTGATAACTAAACCCGAACGAAGGAAGTATGTAATATAATTACAGAATTTGCATTAAGGAAAACCTGGAGCCCATTCCATGAAATCTACACGATGCTGCGGATGTCGATGCATACCCAACAATTCATACCTACAGAAACACACACATACAACATAAGAACCATACACATTCCACCATAGTACATTGTCCAAAAAAAAATATATATATAGAAAAATAAAAAATAAAAAATAAAAAATAAAAAAAATCCAAGTAACAATAACTAACCCAGAAGCCAATTCTTTGAGATTCATGAACCGCTGAAATATTTCATCTTTACGGTTTTTATAAGCCTTGTGCCTACAACACATAGAATTATCTCAAATTAACACAAATACCCAAAATTTGCATAAAAAAATTGGGGGAAAAATGCTAAAAATGGGAAATTCAATACCTTTCACGCAGGAACTGAGAAAAAGCTTTGTGGGTAATACCGAGTCGAGTTAAAAACCCAACTGGATCAGCTCGTTTCTCACTCGTTGATGATTCTTCTTCTTTTTTGGGTTGATTTTGCTGTTGTTGGGGTTGTTTTGAAGAAGAAGAGCACCTCCATTTTTTAGAAATTTTGATTCTTAGAAATTGGGGTTTTTTTGGAAGGTGAAATTGAGGATAATTGTTGTTTAATTGTAATGAATAACACTGAGATTGTGCTGTTAATGTGATGAACATTTTTCTTGCTTTAATTTGAGAAGTTGTGTTGAAGTTTTAGATAAGAGGGTTTTAGAAGGTTTATGAGTTTGGAGGGGTTTTTGAGTCGACTCGTTTTAAAAATGATGACCAGCTCCCGAGTTAAACCTGATTTTTATCATTTTGTTTTACTACAGTTGATACTTTAACTGTAGTTTTTACCCCAAAAAAAAAAAAAAAAAAAAAAAAAAAAGAGAGAGAGGAAATCAATATGGATTAAAAAGAACGCAGAAAATCAGTCAATTTACGGCCTTAATTGACGAGTATAACACTATTTTTACTTTAAATTTAAATACTCTGTATATATAATTGAGATTATATGAGAATTTAATGGTAAAATGAGAATAAAGAATCAATTTAAACCCTTATATCATCATATAGTCAACTGAATAATGTTTTTCCCGTGTTAATTTATGACAATTTAGTAACTTCACGATTTTTCAAACTATTTCCCAGTTTATTCTCTTTAAAAGCAATTTTTGTCACTTATTTTTACTAATTTTATTATTTATGGTTTATCGCTAGAAATTGAAAATCACTTTTAAAATCATAAATCCTTATCTCTAGCTCATGTCTTCTTTCTATATTCAACATATATTACTAAACCTTAGGGTGCAAGATGTTGTTTCCTATCTATGTATCACTTCAAATGAAAAATTCCAAATGAAACAAACATAAAGAAACAGATGGAATACGTTACGTTGTATGATCAAAAACATACACTCATAAATAACTAGAACTTTTTTATGTATGGATAAGTTTACTAAAGGTCATTTGTTGTATGATAAAAAACATACACTCATAAGTAACTAGAACTTTTTTATGTATGGATAAGTTTACTAAAGGTCATTTGTTCAATCACGAGTTCAGACGCCAGTTTTTCTAGATCACAGTAGAGAGGAATACAGTTAAACCAAAATGCATGAGATCATGACTCATGAATATGTATGACCTCCTCATAAAATCGTGGGACACAAGTTTACAAAATAGTTCTTCAGATTATGAGAGCTAATGTTTGCCTTTGGTATAAAGATTCCAACTTACATATTACAATGTTTGCCTTTGGTACATAGAAACCAGCTTACAAATTACAATAACCGTGACAAGATTGGAAGTAACCAGCTAGCACAAGTATTATATGACTTTGCAGCCAATGTGTATTCCCACAGCAATGCACAATCTGCACTGTTACTTCCAGAATACAATCTGATGAAAGAACATTGAGACGAGTGTTATTGGATCAGCCACGTATAGAAGAAAGTATGTGCCGTTAAGCGTTCACTGTTTCTTTGGGTACTCCCTCGGGCCAAATATTGTAGACCCAATTCTCACATTAGTACTACCCATCTCTATCTGCAAAATTTATACAACACAAGCAATTTTCAGGCCCTCATTCACAAAGATCATCGTAGAAAAAAAAAGAGAGATGGTATTTTTTACCGCTAGCTCAAAGTCGCCAGACATTCCCATTGATAGTTCACATTGCTCCTCAGCAATTCCCAATTCTTTGCAAACAGCACCTCGACAATTTGAAAGTGTCTGCAACATTAAGAGTGATCAGCTTATTGAGCAATCAATCTCAAGCAAAACAATTCACAAACAAGACATTATACTAGTAAAACAATAACCTCTTTCAAACAATAATAATATAAAAGTGGGATGTAAAACAAGTTGAGAGAAGTTTAAGTACCAAGATTTGACATTTGATGCACATCATATGGACAGGGAAAACATAATGGATGTCATACACAAGTTAATATGGAAGATGATGTCAAAAAAAAAAAAACAAGTCACAGTATATTATCACCTTGAAATTTTCCGGGGTAGAAGTGTAGTCTGGCATTCCTATTGTCATTAAGCCACGAAACTCGAGATTTGGACACCCCAACTTGACATGCTTCACAAGCTCTACACATGCCGGCGGATCAACTCCAGCTTTTGCTGTAGCAATATGAGAATAAATATGTCCTCCATGAGCAATTCCACTGTATAATGTATCATATTATCAGAAGTAGATTCAGCAACTAGAAAATCGTACAATTCAAATGGCAACAGGGAGATCATGTCCGAATGATAACTTGAGATTGATGCCCATACAAGTCAACAATTTACCACAGGACATGCAACTTTGAAGAAATTCAATTTTTGCAAGAAATTGAAGAAACAGGTGTTGTTAACAAAATGGAAGAGAAAATCAGTGTAAAAGGTAAATGAGACAAAAATAATTATAAGTACGAGAACAGCAATCAGAGCTGTGAGCAGCTTCCCATTGAACACATCCTAATAACTGAGTTTGTACCTTAGAGCTTAGACCTAGGATCGAATCCATTCCACATCACTGCTTTGGCAACCTAACCCTTCAACTTAAACGCAATTCAACAAATTAACTCAGAATGCAAAATTAGTTATGTAAAGTAATGTTGACCAGAAATATCTCTTTTTTTTTTTTTTTTTTTTTTTTTTTTTTTTTTTTTTTTTTTTGTATGCGCATGGAATATTCAATGGATTTAGAACCCTTCTTCCCCTAGGGGCCAAAAGTAAAAGTTCCCATTTAACAATAGCAAGTGCACAATGGCAGATTGGACTGGGTCTTCCGACATATCTACTTTGTATAATTCTCTTACTTCTACGTCCTCGTATTTCTTATCCTTTTGTAACAACCTGTTTTCTTGCCTGTTCAAAGCTTCTTAATAACATGCCATAAACACTCCATGTTAAAGTGCTAAACTAAGCGTTTTATGATAGCACAGAATATGATTTAAAAAAAAGAGGGAGAGTTCGCCAAGGAAGATGGATGGTAAGTGACATATGACATCCTTAGCTCACCACCATTAATCCCCATAAAGAATATTTTCTTTATTTAAAAATTACACAAATATAAAATTTGAGAGCACTGTACCACCACAACACCACAGAAGCAAACAATTATTAAGGATTCACATCATCAAGAAAGTGTAAGGACCAGAAAGCAATGGATTCTAGTTCGGAAATAAGCCTCGGTATTTAGCATAACAGAAGTCTAAGAACAGAAGGCAACCTCTGTTCCTATTTTAGTCTATACTCTTCTTCTCAACCTATATAGGCACACTATCACAGTATCACAGTACCACCTGCCTTTCTTCCCTCTTGTTACTTATCTGATTATAGAGCATGAAAACAAACTAAGATATTTAAAACATTGAATAAAGATATCAAGGCTCCAAATCCCTGCCCACATTCCCCCGCCCCCTAATATCCTGTTTTTTAGACAAGTGGGTGTAAAAAAAGTTCTTTGCAACTCTGAAGTTGTTATTTCAAACACTTACATGTTTCACCACTGGTATTCACTTGCACCAATACCTTAAGAGGCTTTCTTCCTATAGCTGACACTGCACGATCAAGATGATTGGCTAGCTGTTTAGCATGGATAGTTTTTGGTCAGTTCAAGGATTTCACACAGATAGGCAAACTGAATATAAAATATCTTTGATGAACATAAAAGAACCAGTTCAAATGATACATCAGCTATTTTATGATCTCAGTTAATAAACAAATCATACCTTCTGGCTATCTACACCCTCAACCATATCAAGGTGTGGCACTGAAGCTGCACAATAGAAATATAGGGAAATGTTTGAGACTTTGAGTGACATATTATAAGAGATTAGGATTTTCAGATGATTAATAAAAGTAGACCTAAGATGATTTCAAAACATTCTATAATCATGCACATCACTAAAGACAATTTTTTGTCAATTTTGTATTCGTCCCGTGACAAAACCCTGTTTAAAAAGGGATCATTTATGAGTTTTAGATTGGTTTTAAGAGGTACATTCAAACATGAACATTTGCTTTGCAAATGCACCAGTTTTAGACAGGGTAGCATTCTTCCTTTACCCTCTACTCTAAGTCTCTAATATAAACAACATTTTACCATATCCATAAAAGCTTTTTAATCTTAAATTCGATCCCATCGACTAAATTACCAATCACCACCTCAGATTAGATTAGTATATCCTAATGATTGAACATAAATTTCATTACACAATATTGCAGAATTAAAGGAAAGGAAGTAAGGAACCAATATATAGTAAGCTGAGTAGTAACATAGCATCAAATAGACCACAATTATGCACTCAAATACCATAATTTTCATTTCAAATAACAAATCTTAATACTTATGAATAATCAAATCATTCCAAAAATACAACCATTTTTCAAGGAAATATCAGCATTTAATTTCTTAAGAATTTAATTTATTTACAATTAAACTAGAAATACTTCTAATATCCTCAAATTTCCAAAATGAAAGAACTTACTCAGCAGAGATTTGACTTTATTAGTCTGCAAATGCCCAATAAAATGCCATTCAATATCCTCCGGCAACTACAAACCCCACAAAAAAAGACAACATTTTTCCAATTAATTTCTCAAACCCAATACAATTGCTCAAAAGGAGGAGAGAGAAACCTGGGGAGCTTTTTCAAGAAATTCTTGGACATAATTTTCACCGAAGGAACGGTGGCCGGCGTCGTAGAGTTGGCGGATGAGAGAGATTGGTTTTGTTTTAGACACCGCAACCACTCTTACTCCGCCGGGGTCACGGCCAACTTTCGCCGCCGATTGCCGGACGCGGCTCATCACTGATCTCAATGCCGTCACTGCTATTCCCTCCATTGCCGGAGCTGCCATTTTTATTTTATTTTTATTTTTTTTTGTAAATGGTGAGTAATATTTCTGGCTTGTAAATAGATGACTTGGAATTTGAGGAGCCTGAGATATTATTGGCTTATTGGGCTTATAGTCTCATGCTCGTTCTCACAATGTAAACAATCAATTACAATAGAGGTTGGTCCAATGGTAACACTGTAACTAGAGGTGTCAAAACTTGACCCGGCCAACCTGATTTGAAATCGACTTGAAAAATATCTAATTTAGATTTCAACTCGTATAAATACAAAATTTAGAGTATGTTCTCATTTACTGAACTGAAATAAAGCTGAAATGAATAATTTATGAGAGAAGGAAATTAAGAATTGAAATGAACTGAAATTAAGCTGAAGTGAATAGGCCCTTAGATTACTTAGGTTTGACATAGATTCAACATGACCCGATCTAGACTCCCGAATTGACACCTCTAATTGTAACAGTAAAGTTGTAGTAAAGGTTAAATTAACAATATTTGACAATTAAGAATATAAAAGGTTGTCCTGAAAAGTTATAATAGTGACTCTTGAATTACGAAGTATTATAGATATTTCGTAGAGTAGGGTTCAATGGAAATCAAAATACCAAATATCATCATCATCGTTTTGAAATGACTAATACATGCGTAGTATAAATTATGCACATTTGTCAACTATTTTGGAACAAAAGTAGAATTTTATTGGCACAAAGTGCTTATTCACTTTATTAAATGACTAGTGGAAAGTGGAATGACACTAGTAACCACATATGTTATGGTTGGGCATGCCTACAAGTGTGGCCAAAATACTAACAAAAAATTGACAACACCCTGATCACTACCTCAATCAAACCAAAAATACAGTGCTTTTTATCTCCCTGGACCCTAGTGGCCCGAGTGGGGAGTTATGAATAATGTGTAGCTACTAACTTAGATAAAATTGATATAGATAAGATTGGTCCCAACATTAAATTAAAATTTAGGTATTACCTTAATACCTTCATTGGTAACATTTTGCTCCTACATATGAGTCATATGACAAGAAGTTGAACTTATTGGACACTCAATAAACTTGTTGATTTGATCCTAAAGATATCAACTGTAAACATACAGAAATAACTTAGATAAGTAGCTATGTTACCTTGAGATGAATATGGAACCTCTAAAAAATGGAAATTTGAATCAAACATAATTGGGGTTTAATTTGGATTATGTTTTTATAACCTTTTTTTTCTTAACATATGTTTTGAAGGGCAAATGGGAGAGGTCATTCATGAGAAATAACAGAGTTTACATATATATTAACATGACAGGTACATTAACAATTTAACATAGAGTTCCATACTTCCATGCTCATCCCCTTGAAATCCAATCATCCATAACTTATGTCAAACTTATTTTCAAGTTTACAGCTGATAGCAGGGAAATACAGGCATCAAAATCTCGCTATTTACATAAATCCTGTAAGCTGCAATCCTCCAAAATCTCCTGAGAACACGAGTTCCCATCCAAAGTATTCGTTTAAACTATAACCAATAGTGCTTCATTTACAAATAGAACAGCACACACTCTAAAGTCAGGAATCCGACTGTCCCATAAGCCTCAAAGCTTCAAGAAGTGTCTCCTTGAACCTATCTAAATTGATTCTAAAATTTTGCTCGTCGACATAGGCTTCCTTTACAGCCATATATCCTTTAGCCCAAATAGAAGCTGCATCCGATACAATTGGATGATCTGGACCATATTTTTCGTAGAGTGAAGTCTCATTGCGCCAAACCTTGTATCTAATGTATTTCAGTCCAATGCCAGGGGCCGGTTCACCAAAGTAGTGATCGGAAGCCCAGTTTAGACCTAAGGGAACAATCTGGATCATTGCTGCACCAGTGGGCAGAAACAAAGCATTCGTGAGGCCGGCTCCATGAGCCCCAACCATGATTTCACAAGAATTAACAATTTGGGCAAATTTGTCCAATTTCTTAGTTTCATTTGGCATGGCTCTATAAACTTGAAAGCCTAATTCTTGCTCCATCATGTTCACCATCTCATCTTCATTCAGAAATATTCTTGAGCCTCGTCGAGAAACAAGGAGAACTTTTGGCCTTTTGAGATTTAATGTTCTTTTTACCTTCACATCGTAGGTGTTCCACAGAAATTCTCTGACATCTTGCATTGTATATCCTAAAGGAGCATCGTCGCTGTTCACTGCAAGATTCTCATGATACCTACATGAATTAAATTGTATTGGTCATAATCCTTGGAAGTCTTGGTTCATAAGTAATAGGGGTAGCATAGCATAAAAAACTTCTTTTTAAAACAGAACTCTAAAATGACAGCATAAATGGATTCAGAACTAACACAGACTAATGATTAGAAGCCCAACTTCCGCAATCACTGAACAACTGAAAGCAGGTAAATATTAGACACAAATTCTATGTCTAGACCAAAAACACGGAACTTACACATAAAATGGCCTGAGTCCAATAATTGGATGCATAATCGTAACAGGACTACAGGACTAACAGGAGTACCCAAACTAGTCCCAGTAACATAGCCTAAAACCAAAAGTATTGGTTATTGTAACCAGTAATTGACCTGACCAAAGAAGTCTATACTATATAAGACCTTGAATAAATGTTTCAGCCACGTCTACAGCAAGGTTCTAGGTTCGAAACTCTTCTTAATAGTGCGTTCAACAAGTATGAATAAGGGTAATACCTGAGCCCAACGACACCAGCAGGAAAACAGTGAACCCTTTTAGTTGCATCCATACCAATATTCTCAAACAAGGTCAGCTCCTTTAAAACCTGAGTATATTTCCAATACCAACGTCCTCTAAAATCTGTTAGGACAAACTGCACCTTAGAATCAAAATGGCGGCTGGTGAGGAATAATGGGATTATGATCTCGTTGAAAGCATGAAACGGATTCTCTGCAAATCCTGCAAATGAATAGAATAAACCCGGTACATTATGTGTAATCTGACAAGCTGGTGGATTGATACTGCTGTAATTTCCCCGGATGATCTGCACCGGCGTAACCTGTTCCATGGCATACGGGTCTTCCCTTCTTGGATAAGGCTTAACCATCAGTTTTGTAACCTCTTTTTCATCTTCGGAGGGTAGATACACAGTCATAGATTGTTCGTCGAATATAATTGGCTTGTTTATCACACATACTTCAGTAAAATTGTCAACATCATAAGCAAATCCTGTGGCTTCAAATTCAGCTACATCTTTCCCTGGTTGATCAACTAGCAGTTATTAAACTCCAGCTCCAAATAAGTTTGACAAAACAAATACAACATTTTGCTGAAATATTAACATAAGAATATATGCACAACTATAAGGCCTAGTTTCGATTTACTGAAAACAGCTGAACCTCAACTGATTGATGTTGAACTGAACTGAATAGAGCTGAAATGAATTGTTTATGAGAGAAGAAAATTAACAACTAAACTGATTGGAATTGAGCTAAACTGAACTGAAATTAAGCTGAACAAAACCCTAGGGCTTTGTTTTGCTCACCCTAATATCAAGTACCGGAAAACAGATAAGTTCATAAAAGGGTAATCCTAGCTTAATTCAGATAAGTTCAAATAAGTTTCGACAAGTAGAATGCACACAAGCATTCTTTGGCAACAATGCAACCCAAATAGATAATTGGCGAGTATTTTATTCTAATAATATGCAAAGTTTGGCTTAGAAGGGAATATACAGTATACAATAATGATTGTTGATTCAGAGATTATAATTCTAAAAATACAACTGGTAAGTGACAACTGACAACAATTGTTCTACCAACAAAGAGAAGAAAATAAAAATAATAGCAGACGTGTGGACAAAAAATACTTGAATTATGTACAAAAACTAACATGGACATGTTTAAAGCTGCTTAAAAAACACCAATTTACTCTTAAATAATTGGATACTCTTTAACTAGGCATCTTGAAATAATCATTCTTTAGCAAATCTAGAATCAATCTATTTTAATAATTAGAAAATTATCATCTACTATTTTTTGTTATTTTTTCGCCGTAATCCTCTCCCCGACAACTATACGATCATTAATTTTGAACACAACTGAGATATTTCATCAAACATTCTTCTTTATTTGCAGCAATAATGTTTTACTAAAAAAATTTCATAAAATCTTGGTTAAGGTCTAATTTGTGAAGTGTAATTTACATATTTTTGACTAATTTAGATGGTAAAAATAAAATCACAAGTTCACAGCTTTAGATGAAATGATGAAAGTCTCGTGGTCCTTTTTTTATGTAAATACTTTTTGACATAACTTTTGACAATTATTTATTTTTTCTATTTAGGGATTTTGGGTAGATTGCTAGTAGATTTCTCAAAAACATTTTATGGAATATTAAATTATGAGATTAAAATTTACTAGTCACACAAAGCATAACCACAAGTCCACGACCCATGTAAGGTGTGACCGATAAGGGGATCCCAACTCACAAGGAAACCTTAACCATTTAAAACGGTACGGAGTAACGATGAATTTATAATACCACCACCACAATTCTAAATCTCGAGGTGGAAGTTCTACCATTGAGCTCTCACTTGATATTCGTACACTCAAAATATTGAACTTTAATAGCAATCCATTATCAAATCCAATACTTTACAAGAAATGATGAAAGTATCTCAAAAACAAATCAATAAACATGAAAAATGATGAAAACAAAAGCAACATAATAACAGATAACTAATAATTACATGAAAACAGAGAAAGTAGTGATTTATACACTTACCTCTAACAAGTTTTCTGAGTTGCAAATGTAGCTTGATCAAATCTACTTTTTCAGTAAAAACCCCAAATTTTCTATTTCCCAAAGTTTGTAACCCTTCATTTGTACAACATAAATAATCATAATATTCAGTCCAAAATGAACAATATATCATCAAAAATCAAAACTTTATAGAATGATATAATATAAAGTTTTACCTGAATATAATGGCTGTTGATGATGGATGAAGAAGAGCAGAAGAATGAAGATTGGAAGAGCAGAAAAAACTAGCAGTTTCCTAAAAATGGGCTCTTTTTTCTCCATTTCTTCTTCCTTTTTCCCCTGATAATATGACTGCTATTAACAGTAGTAACCAGGGAAATGTTTCTTCAGTTGGGTTTTTGAAGCGTTTAGCTTTGCTTTTGTCTTCTTCTTTTGTCCAACTGTCGGCATAATATTTGTTGTATAGGGTACCTATTTATCTATATATCCAGATGGACTTACAATAACTTACTATTAGTGTTAAAGTGTATGACGAAAAAAAGAAAAAACTGAAGTCTTGTATAAATAAATTGTTGTTAATTCAATTCATACAACCATTAAAATTATAATAAAAAGATTATTACAAGTAAATTATTGTAAGTCCGACTCATACAAGATTTTACGAGTTGGAGTTTTTAAGATGTGTATTAGTTTGAAAGACTGTGCAGGGTGAAGGGTGAAGGGTGAAGTGGAGTCACTTTATTAAAGAAGTGGACCCCTTGATCTAATTAGCTGCTTTTAATAGGTTAAAAGTAAGGTTAAACTGTTTATGTCATTAGTTTAATCTGACTGGGTTAACTGATAGTGGACGACATTAGTGGTTGGTAAGACTAGTTTATTCTCTTCACTATATGTTGTTCTCTGACATTTGTATAGATTAAAAATAACAAAATAACGCTTATAAAATGTGATTACTGGTTAGCTTAGTTGTAGATAATTTTATAAATTAGCCATTTTCCAAATGGTATTTGAAAATTGTAACAATGTACCATTTTTAGATTTTTTTACAGTTTTACATGTATTGAAAGCTACATTGTAGATGTCAGTACATGATGCTAAGGTTATTAATTAGAGGTTGGTGCTTGGTAGTAGTAATAAGTTGTGGCCCATGCATATATAATTGCTTCCTTTGATGAACAGAAATCGAAATCGGTTGCCATCAATGAGATTCTATATATATCGATCTACTACTACCTCCCTCGCATTTTAATAGGTTACTTTTGAATTCTGATCAACAAACCTAGACAACATTTCAACTTCACGTTTTTTTGTTTCGTATATGAAGCATTTGGGAGTAGGGAGAGAGGTTAAGGAGATCTCTACATACAAACACGTGCTCTTATTTGACAAGATTTCAACTCAAATCTTTACGTTATGAAAAGAGAATCTTTGTCCACTGTCCTCAAGAATTACATCTCGAGTCCTTTATCCACTATCCTTAAGAATTACATCTTAAAAAAAGGGGGTTATGTTGACAAAACATATAGGAAATATCTATAAATATTAAATAAGATCATCTTAGGGTCTGTTCTCTTACGTTGAAATTCAGTTCAGTTCAGTTCAGCTCCTAATTTCCTTCTCTTATAAAATATTCATTTCAGTTCAGTTCAGCTCAATTCAGTTCAGTTCAGCTCCTAATTTCCTTCTCTTATAAAATATTCATTTCAGTTCAGTTCAGCTCAATTCAGTTCAGTTCAGCCGAGTTCAGTCAATGAGAACATGCCCTTATTATCAATGGGAACACCTTATAGGTTTAGGACTAACGAAGAGAAAAACTAAGATCGATAGTGTCATTTGCTTGCAAACTTGCAATGCTAATAAAAGTGGACTTATGATAGTAAGACGGTTTTACACAAATGTTTATCATTAATTTGCATGGAAACTTCATTTGACAACCCATTTTTAATAAAAGTTAAAGAGGTTAAATTATTGACACCTTAATTAGTTAAGATATCCTATCTTTGTTTTCCTACTTATTTCTAATTTTTTTGATTAAATTATTTATTTTAGCTCAGTTTCAATTAGGGCTGCCAGATACAAGTATAGTATTATTATATTTTTGATAATCATAATCAAAATTGATTTTTAATGTTTTATCTATTGAAAACATAGTTTTAGCAACTACAATGATTGGATTTACTATTAATGTTACTTATAGCATATATAAATACTATAGTAAGAAATTAATAAATAAAATAAATAGATTTGTTTATACTCCATTGATTTCTTTGCGTTATATGGTACATAATTTTTTGTATGGCTCATCTAACATCAAATAATTTACAATATTTTATCCAATAAAGTGGGGCTGCAAATATTATTGCAAAAAAACATTATTGATTTGGAATTTTTGTTTGCTGTTTTATATATTCCCGAATCGGTTTCTCGATCTTTTAATAGTTGGATTTTTGTTTGTTAGTTATCTCCTTTGATATGTCACCTTCTTAAACAGATATGTCTAATAATATTAGTTTTCCATTTGCTGTCGAAATTGTCGTCATTCAGTCCAATTTGAAAGCTAAGTCTTGATAAAATCTTAGAGACTTTTTATTGCCGTAGGAATGTTGGATGAGGAGACCAAATATTGACCTATAGCCGGTAAAACTCGTATGCGTCCACCAATACATTACAAACCGGTTAAGAGGGAGCTATTGCAACTTCATTAGAAGTTTCGAATTTAGTACTACTTAGGGCTTGTTTTGATTTAATGAACTGAACCGAACTCATAAAAGCTAAACTAAACTGAACATTTTATTAGCGAAGAAAAGTAGGAATTGAACTGAAATTAAATGATTGAAACTGAACTGAATTAAACCGAAAATAAGCTGAAGAAAACAAACCTTTAGTATTTCCTTTTTTTTTCTATGAACGTTTCTTCCACTTATTATTTATGTGATCAAATTTTAAATTTATAAGTATCTTTGATAACTTACCATGTGAAATTCGTCCTAATGCATATCGTACATTTTCATATTTTTATCTTTGTGTAATTTAAGTAGTAACATAGTAACAACTACGGTAACATTTTATTTAGAAAAATGACTACTTTAAGAAATAAGACTTGAAAAATAGCCTAACAAAAAGTGGTCTGATCTAACTATAACCCATAACACATGTAAGTTTGGTGTAAAGCTTTGTTCTATTCGACTTATTTATTTGGAGACACAAATTTGAATAATGCAGAATTGCAAAGTTACGAGGTTTACTCAAATTTGTTGCAATAGGTGAGGTATCCGCCAGACACAACTCTGAAGTCTGAATAATGCATAATTGCAGAGTTACGTAAGTTCAAGTTTGTTACAATAGGTGAGGTATCCAAATAAATGCTAAACATGTTCATTCACTTTCTCTTGAGATTTGCCGCCTTAAATTGCTGAATATGTGTAGCTTTTTCCCTTCTTTTCTCCCTTTTATTTAAAGAACAATGTTCAACAATTACGGTCAAATCTTGTCCATTATGCTACTACTTTGTTGATGATTACTGATTAGGCTAGTAATCATTATTTCTTTCAAGGTCTTTGCCAATTGCCACCAATGTCTCCTTTAATTGTGTTGCACCAAAGTCCCTTTAGGTCTTTAGCATTGTTTTAGGCATTTGTGTAATGTAACCAAAAATATTAATATTTGTATAACCAAAAATGATTTGCCCTAACTAAAATTGAGTAATAAAAGTTGATAAATCGAATGCCAATGATGATGGAATAGAATGACTATAATAGAAAATGTTTAGTATATTCATGTTACAAATCCGAACTAATGAGAAACTGAGACGATGTGATATATGGAGTAAAAGTTCAAAATAATGAGAGTAGTATTTACATTTCCAAATCACTCATATACCCTCTTACGGATAAAATCAATATGTTAATATCCCAAAAACTTTAAAGCTTCTTTGAGAGTACCTTTAAATCTTGCAATATCAATGGTGACATTTTGTCCATCAATATACAATGACCTAGCAGACCTATACCCTTGCTCAAACACAACCAATGGATCAGAAACAATGGGATCATCTGGACCGTACACGTCATACAAAGAGCTCTCTTTAGCTACAATCTTATAATCCATGTACTTCAGCCCCATAATATGGGCCGGGTTACCATAATAGATATCGGAGGCCCAATTAAGAGCCAATGGTACTATTTGGACTACAACAGCCCCATCACGAAGAAACACCTCATTTGTAAGCCCAGCACCATGGGCCCCCAATATGATGTCACATGAATTCACAACTTCGGCAAACTTGTCCAAATACAGCATTTCATGGGCCTTGGCTCTATAAATTTCAAAGCCCAAACTTACCATCATTTTAACCATTTCATCTTCGTTAAGAATTACTCTTGTTTCTTTGCGAGATATGAAGAGTATTTTGGGCTTCTTGTTGGGCTTTATTGTGCCTTTTATGGTTAAGTTGTATGATTTCCCAAGGAATTGCCTAAAGTCTGCCATTGTATAGCCTCCTGGAATTTCTGAGCTGTTTAGTGCTAGATTATCATGGTACCTATAATAGAAGTATAAACATGTTTAGTTGAACATCTGATTTCATGTAACAAATAGATTCATCAAATAAACAATTTGTTTGAATTTTGATTTGTTTTGGAGCTATATCAACATGTGAATCAAGAAATATTTAAGAAACGACTACTTAAACAACGCTCTCAACATTGTTAGCTACAAAATACTAAAATGAAATGAATCTAACAATACATCCATCAAAAATGAAATTGGTGAAAAAACTGTCATTTTAGCGTAATCATGTCTGCCCTGAAATGACAGTCAAAAGTTTAATGCTAAACAAGTTAGACAACTAATAGCAAACAAATTTACCAACATATCATTAATCAACCAAATAAGAGTTAACATATGGCTATGAACAAAATGAATGTAAGAGCATGCATGATATACAATATATTGAGGATATCATGATTTCCTCATTCCATGATTTCCTAAATATATCCTCAATACAATAAATTCGCATTTTATAATTATATAATTGTAGTTGCCTAACTGCTAGACAAGTAACCCGACATTTCATGTTACGAGTGTAAACTTATTTACCTGAGACCAAAAACAGCAGCAGGAAAGCAATGAACTCTTCCATCTTCATCACCATTTATAACTTCAAAAGATGACAACTCCTTCAAAACCTCCTTATACTTAAAAACCCACCAATCTGCATAATCCGTGATTAGAAATTGCACTTGAGAATTAAAATGCCGAGAAGTGAGAAATAATGGGATTATAATCTCATTAATTTCATGAAATACATTTCCTATAAATCCACCAGTTGAGAATATTATTGTTGGAACTTGATGTGTAACCTCACAATAAGAAGATGTATTTTTTCTTTGTGTAATATTAGTCCCATGAAGTATTTGTATTGGTGTGACTTCTTTCATGGCCGTCGGATCTTCCCTTCTA